AGCATATGATGTAATTTTGCTTTATAAGGGGCATGTCGTCCCCCCTGAATAAACTTTCCTCAAGTTTTTCATTAACCCGAAACCTGTGTCTGGTGTGAATTACTTTAGGAGCGTGCACGCACTACTTCTTTAATTTGGCTGGGGGCAGATACACAAGATAATAAATTAATTGATTGATTCCACATCACAGTGGAACCTCGGAACTCAAATTTAATCCATTCCAGAAGTCTGAGAACCTATTTCTTTAAAAACCGAAACAAAAGTTTCCATAAGAATGAATGTAAATTTGATTAATGCATTCCACAAATTTTAAAATGTAATAATACCTAATGCATAAAGTCATACAGAAAAACAACAAACAAAATGTAAATTAAATGAAAATGTAACTTCACTTTACCTGTCAGCTCTGCTCAGGGTCGGCCTTTGGGGTGTGCGGGCTGTGCGGTTGCACACGGTGCCGTGGCAGCAGGGGGCGCCATGTGGCCGACACAGCTCACACACTCCCTGCCCTCTCTATTCTCTACCCGGGCTTAGCAGAGAGAGAGAGACTGTAGGAGGCAGAGCTAAGCAGCTGGTGGGGGCGGAGATAAGCAGCGGGGCGGGGCTAACCAAGAATCTGCTGCCTGGTAAGTGAGACCATAGTGCCCCTGCTCCCCCTATAGTACCCCTGTTCCCCATCTATTCCTATAGTGCCCACCTCTACACCTATAGTTCCCCCCCACTACCCCTATAGTGCCCACTGCTCTCCCTATAGTGCCCATGCTCCCCATCTACCCCTATAATGTCCCTGTTCCCCATCTATCCTTATAGTGCCCCATCTACTCCTATAGTGCCCATGCTCCCCATCTATCCTTATAGTGCCCATGCTCCCCATCTATCCTTATAGTGCCCCATCTACCCCTATAGTGCCCATGCTCCCCATATCTACCCCTATTGTGCCCTTGTTTCACATATACCCCATAGTGCCCATGCTCCCCCTATCTACCTCTATTGTGCCCCTGCTCCCCCATCTACCCCTATAGTGCCCATGCTCCCCATCTATCCTTATAGTGCCCCATCTACCCCTATAGTGCCCATGCTCCCCTTATCAGTAGTCCACGGCGGGCCGGTGGGGAGATCAAATATCTCCCTCACCAGCCCACATGCTGTATAATGCGGCCGCCGGTGGGGAGAGAGGGAGGGAGTCAACCTGCCAGGAGAGAGGACCCGGCGGAGCTCTATCTTGCAACGACCGGATCTCGCGAGAGTGAACTCTAGCCTCACAGGCTGGAGTTCACTCACCACTAAGACCACCAGGGATGGATGGCAGCCCCAGCAACAGGATCCCCCCCCCCTCCCAGGATAAAGGTAAGCAGGGAGGGGGGATATAATCACCTAACCCACATCAGCCTCACAGACACCCCTAACACTCCCAGCATCCTCACTCACATACACACATAAACTGCACCCCTAACACTTACAGCACACACACACACACACACACACAATCACATAAACTGCACCCCTGACACTCATAGCACCCTCACACACACACACATCACCCCTGACACTCACAGCACCCTCACACACTGACATAAACTGCACCCCTGACACTCACAGCACACACACACACACACACTGCACCCCTGACACTCACAGCACACACACACACAGCACCCCTAAAATTCACAGCACCCTCACTCACACACACACACACACACACACTGCAACCCTGACACTCACAGCACACACACACAAACACACACTGCACCCCTGACACTCACAGCACACTCACTCACACTGCACACACACTGCACCCCTGGCACTCACAGCACCCTCACTCACACACACACTGCACCCCTGACACTCATAGCACCCTCACTCACACACACACACACTGTACCCCTGACACTCACAGCACCTCTCACACACACACACACACACTGCACCCCTTCTGACACTCACAGCACCCCACTCACACTACCCCTGACACTCACAGCACACACACACACACACACACTGCACCCCTGACACTCTGCACACACACTGCACACACCTGACGCAGCACCACTCACTCCACACTCACAACACTCACAGCACCCTCACTCACACACACACTCACCCACCACTGCACCCATGCACACTCACAGCACCCTCACACACACACTGCACCCCTGACACTCACAGCACCCTCACTTACACACACACACACACACTGCACCCCTAACACTTACAGCACCCTCACTCACACACACCCACTGCACCCCTGACACTTACAGCACCCTCACACACACACACACACACACTGCAACCCTGACATGCACAGCACACACTCACTGCACCCCTGACACGCACAGCACACACACACTGCACCCCTAACACTTACAACACCAACACATACACACACACTGCAGCCCTGACACACACAGCTTCCTCATACGCACATGGCACCCTCACGCAAACACAGCACCCAATCACACACAGCACACACACAGCACCCTTACCCACATAGCACCCTCACGCAAACACAGCACCCATCACTAACACACTACACACCTCACACACACTGCACCCCTTACACACACACGCAACACCCTCACACACACTGCACAATATGCTTTCCTGGCATTTTTGTCTCCTGGTATCCCAATTATGGAGATACCAGAGACAAATTTCAAGCAAACACAGTGTAAGCATGTTATTGAATTTGCTTGCGCTGTGCAGAACAAATACAGGGTCTTTTTCTCATGCCAGAGCTCTTCAGCAGAGCTCTGCGCATGGTCTACCCTGGAAGAGCATTGAACCAACATGCTCACTTTGTGATGGGGCGTGCTTGTCATTGGTGATGACAAAACACACCCTATCTGGCCACGTCCCCTTTGTAGTGGGCCGCTGTAATTAAAAAATGCCCGGGCCGAATTTTCTTCCCAGTCCGGCCCTGGTGGGGGACGCTGTTAAGATTTTTCGCACAGGGCGCTTGAAGGCCTAAGGCCGGCCCTGGCTCTGTTCACTGACAAAATGGAGCTCTGTTCGCTTTGGCTAGTTCTAGGAGGCCAATGGGTCATACCAATGAGGTCAATGCTGAGTGATTTTCTTCTAATACCGAGACTTTTTTTTCTCTAATTTTATGTTTGAATACCTAATTGTTCGAATAAGGGAGCGTTCCAGTTCCGAGGTTATACTGTATTGTGTTTATTTGAATACCTAGAAAATATGTATTTGTGATGTAGAAATTCATACCTGATATATTTTTAATCCAAATTTATTTTAAAAAGTGGAGCAGCTTGTGAAAAAGGTAACACAAGTTGAAGTGGTCTGGGTGCCTATAGTGGTCCTTTAAAATATCATAATTCAAAGTACAAATTGCATTATGACTCCCCTCATACAATTCTTACAAATAATCCTTGAATCAACAGCTCATTTTGCCAGGTCTGTATTTTCTCATATATCTGTGAACTTGTTTTCCTTTAAGTAGATAAAGATAAAGTTAAAAGAAAAAACTTAAAAAGAAAAAAATGGGCTACCTGTCAGCTCAGTGTATACATTCTAGCTGGCCTTGGACTCTTGCTGCATACCCTGCCTGACTGATAGCTGCCCTGGCCATTTCCTGAGTGAATTGGACATCGCAGGAAATGGATAAAAAGTCTGTAAGCTTGCAGTAAAAGAGAACATAATTTTAAAAAAAGCTATAATTTGGCATGGTGAAAACCATCTTGGCTGAGCTAAATTTAGCTTGATTTTATTGTTTGGCTCAGGATAGATTGAACGAGGGATCGCTGCTAACAGAAAATAATTGAAATTGTTGTGCTTTTCTGATGACATATCTGTTTGTGATCTCAATAGTCAAAGTATAAAGGGTTGTATCGATTGTCACATGGCTGTTTACAGTTTGCAGAGATTTCAGTTTCAAGTTCTCAAATCCCATGCTGCTAGCCAGACCTTAAAAATGACCAGTCAATATAAGCCTAGCTAGTGGAAATTGTAAACCCTGTAGTCTGTATTCAGCAAATCTATTGTTTATATATTATTTATATATTAAGAAACAGCAGCTAGACCTATGTAATTCTACTGGCATCCATTCCCAATAATTACACCATACACAATATGTCTGCCATTGTTTTACAGTGTTCCTGCAAAGCAACAATAAGGATTCTGTCTTACTGAAGGATGGTGTCAGCCGCACACACCCCAATGAACCACTTCATAGTGCAAATATTCTCATTATGTACAGCTACTCCTGGATCACAAGCACCACATGTATACAGACTGAGAAGTGGCTCTATAGAAAGTTTGGAGCACACATTGCACATGCTGTATTATGATGTAGAGGCCTCTCTCGGTAACATCATCAAAGGTCATAGGCTGGATGTCAGAGGGAGGGGCTAATGTGTTGACTATAAATGGTTAAAATCAGAGTATAAATGTAAAAAAGTATATAGTTAGGAGTCCAGCAATGACGATCTCATCATAGAGATACACTGATTCAATGCATCTCTATGGGAAGCGTTCATTGTGTCAATGCAGAGTGTGGAGACACAAATCGTCAGTCCTGCAATCTTTGCAGGATCACAACCAGGAAGCCCATCTAGTTTCTGTCGTTGTGACTTCCACTAGAATGGCATTGGGCAGCAATATGAACACTGCCTTGTCTGTTTGCCCCAGAACCACAACATTAAGCTGTAGTGTGTCTTCTCTTGCCAGATTTTTCTAATATTGTGTTTATTTCTATATCTAACAAATGTGTTTGTGAGGTGTTTAAAACATAAAATAAATGTAGAAGTCCACACCTCTTTAACCAGAAAGTGGGTGCTCATCTTTTCAGAGCCATGAAGCTGATTAATTAGCTAATAATATAATAAGTAAAGAAAATGTATTTCTTCCAATCAGTGCCTTATGGTTGTAAAACTGATGGTGTGCACAGCACTGAGCAAATAAGAACACTTTTGCTTTTCTGTTTTGACAGTAGGTGGCAGCAGAGCTCCTCCATGTCTCTGTCCAAGCTGTATAATGATGAGCCCACCATCCAGAGGTGTCTTCCTTCCACCCCCTGACATTACACTATCCTGCTGCTGGTATGGGAATGTCTCAGAGGATTCCCAGTGGGTCTGGCATAGATAGGATTAGACTGGCTACACATACCTCACTCTCAGCTGAGGAAGGAGCAGTCAGCTTTGATGATGAGTGTGTGTGTGTGTTTGCAATACCTCCCTCCTCTCTCTAATCCACACCCCCAAGTGCTGTAAGACAGGCAGCTAGCATTGATCCTGAGCTTGTGCTCCTTCCACCTTCCCAGGCTGGTGCTGCTATCAGTGTTGGGGACTCTTGGCAGGCTGGCTGTGAGCATTGTGAGAGCAGGAGGGCACCCCCAGGTTGTCCATGCCATAGCTGACTCCTGCATAGAGAAGAAGGATTAAGAGGGTGTCTTCTCATTCACCTGCTTTTTACATGCACTTCTCTTTCATCTACAGTATTCTTCCTTCCCACCTCCTGCCCTGAGCATCATCCCTCTATATCCTGCCCTGAATCTCTGTTCTGGCTCCTGCTCTGCCCTCCTGCCTGACCCAGCGCCATCTGTTTGTCTACCTGAGTGTGTTTGAGAGAGGTGACCTCACTCACATCACCTAGGGATGGCTGCTCTGGGAGCCTCAGGGAGCTGCTGCGACTGCTCTTTGTAAAGAAATACTCAAGGCTTGGGTTTGGAGGCATCTCAAGCAGGGAAGACCAGGGGTCTGCTGACATCTTTTAAACTGTGTCGGATGAGAAGATTGCCAAGAGACCAGCACCACCATGAGTACCAGCTGTAAGTACAGAGCCTGGGGCCACACACAAACACAAAGGTCAAAATGCACACATAGGTGTATATGTGTATATGGATGCATGCATTGTATTTGTGATCTGAAATGTGTATAATAATAATGTTAAAAAAAAAAAAATATATATATATATATATAAAGAGAGTTTTAAACTCATATATCAGTATCATATAGACAATACAGGTTTTATATTTCTTGTACTTCAAGAAAGGTGATTTTTTCCATTTTTGTAATCTCTTTATTTTATTTTATTGGTGTGGTCAACTGTTAAATTGTCTTGTGAACTCCAGCGGCCCTCCTCCAGAATACATTTAAATACACATATATTGGTTATGGCTCTTTTGTTGATTTTTAGCATTTCTGTGGATAGACCTTGCCCACGTGGTGTACTAAAACTCTGTTCTTTGTTGTATGTATTTTTACATAAATATTTTGTATCTATGTATGTATATATATATATGTATCATTTATTTTTTAATGATTTGTCTCAGAATAGATTGATTTACTTGAGAAGTAATTTTACCACTATTAGTGCCCCCGATAGTGTTACACAAATTTGAGAAAACGACCCTTGTATATATTGACATTGCAGGTGAAAATCTCTGATATAGCGACGGTCCTGGGCACTGACCAACCTCATTACATTTATAATAACCGGATGTAAATTGGCTTGTCTACTAATAGACATGGTGATGACTCAGTAGCTGCAATATGTCTGGTCAATTGGAAGTGAATAGGATGTGGTGGTGGCCTAACCTTTGTTGGAAAAAGAAAAAGCTCAGAATTCCACGTGTTCCTTCAGTGTACCTTTATGTATTGTCCTTACCCTTCTGTAGAACATCTACTGTTGGTATGACTCCCCTGCCGTTGTCCTTGATGCACCATAATATCTGACGTCACAACATATGTGCATTATTCTTACGGATTTTTCGTACTTCTTACAGACAGCATTTACGATTAATGTTCTGTTTCCATAGACCTGTTCCTAGAACATTCAGAATATACCCATTTTACTGATTCAGTATTTTGAAATCAAAAACGACTTGACCATCTTTGGTGCAGATCAGGCTATTTTTTTATGTTTAGTATTCCTAGGGCCATTAGAAGACATCTGAGATCAAGCGTATGTTGGTACTTGTTCTAGTCACTACGTCACCATGCTTGCATCCTTTGTGAATAGACTATTTCTCTATGTTATTACACGCAACAGGAAATAAATGGGCAATCAACAGATTTGATCAGCTACCTAATTTCAACAGGGAACAAAATCTAGCTTTACTAGGTAACTAATAATAATTTTTTCAACTACTGCTTTGTAATTTATAAAACTCTGTGTCCAATATACATATATTTATTATTATTTTTTAATAGTGTGAATGAGGGCTATGCCCCAGAAAGAAAAAAGCTGAGTCTTTCTTTTGGTTTTACGTATCTTATATATATTTCTTTTAGCAGTGTTCAATAACACACGATGGTAGCCTTGATTGCTGCCCTATGTTTAAACTGAGCACTAACCACTCAGTGCCAGCCTAGAATGCAAGGATTGCCAACGAATGTTTGTATTTCTCTCACATATCTCCGTAAGTCTTGTCATACTGGTTGTCAAGCAATACAAAGTCGAAGCCCTGTGGCAATTTAGGTGTCTAAAAAGAGCTGCTGTGCTAACGTTAATGGAATGCAGGCAGTAGGTCAGAATTTACTCTCGTAAAATTGAACTGGAATATTAGCTTTAACAAAGTTATGTAATGTAAAAGTTTGCATTTTTTACTGTGAACATTTATGTTCTACTGCATGTTGCAAGGTAGGACTTCAATTTGCCAAATGTAAACATAAATGATTGTAGACTGACTCTAATCAACATGACGCAGGTTGTGACTGAGAAAATGGCTATACTAATGTTTTAGTTAGTCATGATTATAAACCATATTCTCTCTTGGTGATACATTATAAGAACCCATTTTAGGACCAACATCTCCTCAATCCCTTTTCCTTCCATGGTGTCCCCCTTTTCTAAGACTTTCTTTTTCTCAAAAAGTTAATTTGGTTTACTGCTGCATTGTTGAACCATTCCATTCCCCAACGATATGGACACCACCTGTGTACATTCAAATGGGTCAACAAGCCATCTTTGTCCAACATGTCTTCGTCTCCTACATTATTGGAAGATAAATATTTCAGATAATACGTACGTATGACACTATATTTAGGTAACCAGTTTATTGTTGCTGTACTGCTGTGCATTTTTGTAATTATTGAATCTTGTTGTATAACATTAAACCGTAATTATGCACCAAACTGTGTGCGTAATAATTTGTCTTTCAAAGCAGTAAATTCCTCTGCCCTGATTGTGGAGTGTGAATTACAAGGATGTCTTCCATATTGTCCCAGATTCCCACGCATAGTTTGGCATTTACACTGATGTCTTATTGTCTTATCATTATCTGGATGGCAGAACCCATTTCTCTGTCATCATGCCGTGTGTAATCTTTTTTTTTTCTTCATTATTAACTCTGAAAATAACAATAAGACTTTGAGTGCAATCAGACATTGCATATGCACACATTTATGAGAATGGAGCACATAATGTGGAATGGTGGCAGATAATTGACTATTATATTCTTGTTGATATTTTCTTTATTTTTAAATAATTCAATTGCTATTCAGTAATTTCATGGATTAATTATTTCAAATGCTGCTGTTTATCTATACCAGCGTGAAATGTCTGCATTTCAAGAAGAATATCGTAATATGCATTTTCGTTAACTGAAGTAGTTTTCTTTTGTTGTAATATAAGGTTACTTGTAGCTGAAAACTTATAATTTAAAATATGCAGCTCTCTAGGCTTAGAGCTGTTTCTTGCAATGTCTCTTCAGGCATCCACATAATTGGTGCAATTTGTCAAAATACCATAGAACCTGGGGAAGAAGTCAAACCGTTGGCAAATGGATTGCCTACTTACAATTGTGGGGTATTGCCAGGGCACTCTCTATATCATAACCACAACAAAGTGCTGTAGTGGTTATGGTGCATGGAGAATTCCTGGAGAGAGAAAGCTATAATAAGCAATATATTTAACAAAAAAATATTATGCAATTAACAACTGGTGATAATGTGCAGTGAGATAAGATACAAAAATTTTGGCTACCTGTTACATCCATCAGTATGTCCTTTGAAAGATATGATTAGCTGCACAAATATACATGCGTACGTTTTTGCAATAACATTTCCTCCAGAGATTGGCCTAGTGCGTATATTATTTTGAGTACAGGGTGCAATTAATTTTCATATAAATCATTATAGAAAAATAAACAGATCTGTAAATCTTTTCCAAATTAGAATTTGCCGCCTGTAATAAAATTTATATATATATATATATATATATATATAAATATTTTTTTTTACAAATGGCAAATTCTAATTTGCAAAAGTTACATATACACATTTAATTTGGCAGTACTTGTGTTATTGGTGATTACTCTGATGCTGACAAATTAAATAAATTGGTGATAGAGGCGATCTAGATTAATCTTTTTATTAGAAGTGCGATTCTCAACACAACATTGCTGTGTAATTATAATTATAAGGATTCATATTCACATAAACTAACTTCTATGAGTGACAGAAAGAAATCCCATAAACTGCAGATTGGCACTGGTTGTCACATAACAGTGCCCTACTTTGAACATAGGACATGTGCTCCGCATTGTAAAACGCCTATGTGGATCTTTTAAAGATGATTGACAAGGTATTGCACAGACATGTTAAACGAGGTTAGGAATCTTCGGAATATTATTAAGAGGGAAATATCAGTTAGTACATATCGCACAGCAAGTTTTTTTGCAAATGCTTACATCACTATAAGAGATATGTGTCTCGGTTTAAATTATATAGAGTTCATTTTAATATCTACGTATTTGTTTGTGTGTGTATTTTTCAGTTTGGCTATGCTCTTTTCGAGACTGTAGCTGCGGGAATGTATGTTTGTGTGGGAGTCGGGTGCTTCTCTGTTTTGTAGAAAACAGTTGTGCATTTGTATGTTATGTTTCGATGCGATCCAACAATGCTGTGTTTGTGTGCAAGCTTTGTGCAGACGACAGCAGCAGCAGATGTGTGTTTGTGTGTTCTTGGGAAGTGTGTGCATGCGAGAGGTAGAAAGGAGAATTAACAAACTGAGCAGTCACCCTGTTCAGAAAAGCAGCACTAGAGATTTAAGGAGCAGATGGCCCGTCCTTGTCACTCTCTGCTCAGCAGTCAGATTCTGGTCCGTGTCCATACGCTTAGGGCTTTTAGAAGCTTCTGACCTCTGGTTGTTGTAGCTGAATCTCCTGCCTCTTGCAGTGATGAAACTGGCAGCTCCAGGCTTAATGCTCGGAAGGAAATATCTGCATAAGCGAATTCCAAAGCCACTGAACTCAGCTCTCGAGTTATGTATAGTTCCCCATCCAGCTTGGTTAGTTGCCCAGACTCACCCCTGAAGGATTGTAATGGGTTATAAATAGTTACCCATGAGATGCATGTCAGAGTCTTAACCGTGTGATGTAATGCTGTGTCTGTCCAAGAGATCTCACACTACACTGCCCTTAAATGTCCCGCAGATATACCCCATGTTTCATATAAACGGTGTCTCATTTGAAATTAGACATTCCCCAAAAAAGGCCTTTTTATAGTGTCTTTTGTATGTATGACCCTTATCACAGAATTATTATTATTATTACAAACATTTAGACTGTGCCAACATATAAGCAAGCAGTGCTTTACTGCTATATAGTGGGAGATATATGACAGCAAGCAATTGACAGACAAAATAATATTGACAGTTACAAGAGGTGCCCAGAGCTCTGCACAAAGTTTACAATCTATGAATCCCTGGATTGTACACTAACCTAGGAATTCTGGAAGGAACTGTCAAATTTAGGGGAAAATAGTCAAGCTGGCATTAAAGGACCACTATAGTGCCAGGAAAACATACTTGTTTTCCTGGCACTATA